CGGTAACTAGATCTAGTGTGGGGTTTTTTTTTTTTACCGTTCAGGAAATTTTGAAGTTTGTTTGAAATTTGAAGATTTAAATACTAAATTCTTGGCCTGAAGCTTCTACAATAGCAGTCTGAACTCTGTATAATTGCGAGCATTAGTTATACTTTCATCATTTTTACCTAATGGAGTTAATCAACCTATTGATTAAATGTAATTCATTCCTTGTCTAGCAGCATAGCTAAAATACTAGTTTGCTATTTGTATTCTTGAATATAATGGCATAAAAGAGGTTCAGTTTTAGTTTGATTGCACCGTGCCACTCGGTATGATGAGCAATCTGCGTGGTATTTAAAACTAAATATGCCTGCACACAGGAAGAAAGATACCTCCCCTAAGGTCTCGCTTCCAAACCAAAATACAGTAATGTTTGATAAGCAGATTGCGCTGTTTTAAATGGTGGATTTGCTCACGGAAAAGAGGCATTAGTTTTTGGGAAAGGCCTATTTAGATATTAACATGCTGTGTAGGATGGTACTTTAAGCAGACAAAACGAATTAATTTAATTGCTATAGGATGTACTTGTAGACGACAACTAAGCATTACCTCCTTAATGCAATCCATATCGCTGCTAGGCAGAAGATAAGAACTTGCAGGTGAAGCCAGAGGACAGAGAGGGGTATTTTGGAACTGCAAATAAATGGCATGTATTTCACAAAAGCAGCAATTTGACCAGCGGTGCACTCGTAATGTCACTCTGCCACAGCACGCAGAAATACAAAGAATGCAAACTTTGTGCCAAGTTGCCATTTTTCATTGTACACCTCAGATTGATTTTTAAGGGGTTTAGAATAATTGCCACACTCATATGATCAGTGAACAAATTAACCAACTCTGTGGGGCTTCAAAACCCACAGTGGAGCTGCCGGAAGAATATAAATGTAATTTTTGTTCTCCACTTCATAAACTTCTCTTTTACAGAGTTTGGGGGTGGTGGGAGGGAAGCCCAAAGAGCTGAAAGTACAGAAGCTTCTGTTCAGGATTTGTATACGACACGCTGTGTCTTCTGCCCGCTTTCCCGTACTGTATACTGGTTTCTCTAGTTACCACCGCCGGAATGGTGCTGTTTCAGTGCTGGAATGTTGGACGTTTGATAAGAAAATGGATCAAGTTTAATGGCGCATGCTCTTTGTGCCACCAGCAGCCTCTTGCTGAGAGCATGCTCCAAAAGCGGGAACTGTGTGGCATTGCGCTGAGCGTCTATACGCTTTGTGTTTCTGTGCCACGGAGAAGAGAAATGAACTGTGGCATTCGCCTCAGCCTTCTGAACGGTTCTGCTCAGATTTTTTAAAACTGCATAGTGTCCTCTTTGTGCAATGGTACTTTTCTTGATGCTAGCTGTTCACTCAGATATTTAAATGTTAAGAAACAAGACATCTTGATAGTATCTCTTTTAAATGATGTTGTCTCTGCAGCGTTGCGGGATGAAGTGAGGGGAGGCATACAAAATAAAATCTTCACATGGTTCTTTCAAAGAGTGAAATATGGGGAAAATCCGATTCTCTCTTTTTGTCTGCTGCCTGACAGCGGTAGTAATTGCCTAAGAGGCGTTATGCAGGAATTTGCGTAAATTTTAAGTGTTTATTCTCTTAGTCTTGGATTTCACTTTAAGGTTTTCAGAAACCTTTCTTGATACTGCTTTGATTATGAGAACTTACTGACTTTGAGTTTTCTTCTTCTCTCTCCCCCCCCCCCCCGCTTCTTTCCACAGGATGAATTTCACCCGTTCATTGAGGCACTTCTTCCACATGTCCGTGCAATTGCCTATACTTGGTTCAACCTTCAGGCTCGAAAACGCAAGTACTTTAAAAAACATGAGAAACGAATGTCAAAGGACGAGGAAAGGGCAGTCAAGGATGAGCTACTGAGCGAAAAGCCTGAAATTAAACAGAAGTGGGCATCCAGGCTCCTGGCCAAGCTGCGCAAAGATATTCGCCAAGAGTTCCGGGAGGATTTTGTGCTCACGGTGACTGGGAAGAAGCACCCATGCTGTGTATTGTCCAATCCTGACCAGAAGGGTAAGATCAGGAGAATCGACTGCCTGCGACAGGCTGACAAAGTCTGGCGGCTGGATCTAGTCATGGTGATCCTGTTCAAAGGCATCCCCTTGGAAAGTACGGATGGAGAGCGGCTCATGAAATCCCCACATTGCACAAATCCAGCACTTTGCGTCCAGCCACATCACATAACAGTATCGGTCAAGGAGCTTGATTTGTTTTTGGCATACTACGTGCAGGAGCAAGGTAGGAAGCAGACTGTCGTGTTTCTATGTTAGTATGTCAAACTCGATTCCAAGTAGCCCAGCTTCCCCCATGGGCTGGCTTCCAGTGCAGCGTTATTCTGTGGTCTATAGACGTAATGTGGGTACATATCCATATGTAAATCGGCATGTATATGTATATACTTACACACACACGCATTCCTACAGACTGACATGTAAATGACATGTATGTCTGACATACGTGCCTTGCTGTCTTTCAAGAGAGAGCGGGAAATACCAAGGTAGTACTTTAATTCCTCTGAAGTTGCCTTTTTTTTTTTTTTTGGACAAAATGTGGCAATATATTGTGTAGTTTTTCCAGTCATGACTTCAGAAAACATCCTTCTTGTTTTTTCAAGTTGTTGTGGTTTTTTTTTTTCCCTTCCCCCAGTGCTGTTAGTTACAGATGCAAGTATATGCAATTGCACAATCGCAATAAATACTACAAATATTTATTACTGTCTTTGTAGTTACAAATAATCAAGTATTCATCCTTAAACCAATGAACTTACTATCACTTTGAAGAGCAGTTGTAGACTTTCTCACGTCTAGAAGATAAAACGTGAAAAAAACTTAGCACAGAACTACTGCTTCATAAATACTGTATGTAGTCAGAATTAAAGCATGCAGTACTTAATGCTTTATTCGTATTTTACATTACTAGCTCATCTTACCTATCTGAGCTTTAAAAGAAAGATCCAGGTTGTAATATTTGAAGATAATTTTCCATGAAAAGTATCTTTTCATAATCACACTCATATACTTAATTTAATTTGGCAGATAATTGAAATGTGGAAAATTGCAGGAACACTATGGAAAAACTTTTTAAACTTTCATTACAGAATGAAAATAAAACCAGCACTTCTGATAATCATGTACCAGGATAAAAACTGCTATTCATATTGCATGTTCAGAAAACATTACTTGTAGGCATGTCCCCCAAAATCGTAAATGGCTGTAAGTAGAGAAAGGTGGAGTTTCTTCACCGATGCTAAGTCTTCTGAAATGCTTTTTCTCTGCGAGGGGTCATTTTGGTTCTTTCTGGTGGTTATACCATCCTCTAGACCTCTTTGTATCGTTGACTGATCAGCAGTAATAAAGCATTTCTTTTTCAGCTGCAGATCTCAACTAGGTAAAGTTTGACCGGCCGCAGATGGTGGGCCATTTCACAACTTGGCCTGGTAGTAGCCAGAAATGGCCCGCAGAAGGGCAGATGGCTGGCTGTTGTCTGATGCCCAATATATAACTGGGGGATTTAACTGAAAAACAAATGGAATGGATTTTGTTAGGGGAAAAAAAAAAAAAATTGCACATGTCTTCATTTGGCATGTACTCATTCTTTAAAAGAACAGATACACAACACAATCTTTTTGTTTCCAGTGAATTTGTCTTTCAGCATTTACTCACCAAAGTGGAGCGCTGTGTTTACGTGAACGTATAAACAGGGTTAAATTTTTTGGATTATTCATCATGAAAAAATATGATTCATTGATTTGTTTTGTTTTTTCCCCCCCTGTTACCTTGATTGTATTTTTTTGTATTTTTCTCTCCACAGCAGTAGCCAACATTTAGATATTTTGAGGTCACTTTTAAGTAGCTGCAGAGTCTGGTAAATCTGATCCTCAGTAACATAGGAAGCAAGACTTCTTTGATAGCATTAAACAAAATAGCTTAATTACAAATAATTTGTACTTTAAACTCCCTCTGTGAAGAAAGATTCAAATTATATCTTGAATGCATATATTGCAAGACATAGCTTACTGATTAATTCTGACAGATTTACCTGTCTCTAAAAGTCAAACTACAAAGGGAGGCAAAACACTTTAAGTAGCCCTTGAGCCGAAGCAGCTGAGGTCAGAGTGCTTCTTACACACTGTCAACTTCTAAGTTGTTGGAAGCCAGTAACTTGAAGTGGCAGAAGGAATTGCAGGGCATAGCTGATTTTACTGATTTAAATGGACTGAGAACATGAGTTTATTTAAAACAATTGTCTAATCAGAAATGAGTAAGATAAGCATGCTAGAATACTACAACTTTCAAAGTTACACGATGCTACTTTGAGAATATACTGGAAGATGAAGCTGGCTAATTTCTATGTACCAAGTCACCCTTAGTAGAACCTTTTGTTTATTGTAAACTGCATGTATTTTCTGTCTGTCTTGCTGCTTCACAGTAAATCTTCCATTAACATCTGTTGGCTCTCTTCTTCAAGAAGTCTTATTAAGTTATCTTTGTATTTTTTTTCTGTTTTGTCAAACTTTGATTTTTTGTCCTCATTGAAAGCAGGTTAATTGTGGCACTTTGTAGTGTGCTTGATTAAGAGCACCAGGCTTTGCAAAAGATAAGCATGAAGCCCACCAAAATGCGGATTTATTCACACGCTGTTTTGATTTTTACTTCTCTCTTAGAATATATAAACCTGCCTAGTAGTAGCACGTAAAAACTAAGCAAAGACATAGAAACAATTAATTACCTGAACTAAATATGAAGGAGGAATTAGCACATAAAATGAATAGAGGGGCCAAGTAGGTTGTTTTTTTGTTGCTTTAAAAAAAAGAAGATTAGGGGGAAAAAGAGGAGGAAGGATAGTTCGAGTGCCAGTGATGGTTGCCAGTGGCACCAGGATTGGCATCAGACCTTCTTTGTTTAGCCTAGGATGCCTGTGATTTGTTGGTTGGCATCCGCATTGCAGTGCAGAGTAATGTTACAATATATTGACAATTTCCAGATCTAGAAGTGTCAATAATCCTTTCAGTTCTTAATAAAAAGAGATTCTACTTCCACGTCTGCCTTGAAAGAAGAAATAAGGACCGACCTATGAAGTTCTGTAATTGACCAACTTTGTCTGGTTCTACTTCTTGCTCATCTCCCTCAGAATTCAGCATCTTCCTGCCCCCCCTGCTTCTACTATCCTTTTGTGTGTTGGTATCTTAAAAAAAAAAAAAAAGAAAAAGGGGCTTGACATAGGTTGCAGTGCTGTCCTTTGAATGAAACGGAGGAAGAAAATGGGAACTACAGACTGTGATTAGTGTGTGGCATCAAAATAATTCTTAAATCGTAACACACTTCCGTTTTGTCTATCAGGTCCACCCCTCACTTAAAAAGCCCAAACCTTGAAAACGGCATGAACTTTATTTCTATTGACAAAACAGCTTCTTCTCCCCCCCGGCCCCCCCCTCCTGGGGCATCAGAGAGTGTCTATCGTTTGGTGTAAACCGCATCTCAGTCCATAAAATCATTTGATGGTATTTGATTCAGCGCAGCGCTTATGCTGTGTTCCCGTTGCTACAAGAACCGCCATTTTGTTTGTCGAGTGCCAGGAGAGGGGAAAAAAAAGGCAGACAATGTGCTTGATGCCAATAATGGTTGCCAGTGGCACCGAGGTTGGCATCAGACCCTCTTTGTCTACTTGCTGAATGCCTTTGATTCGTTGGTTGGCATCCGCATTGCAGTGGGCACATTGGAAAGTTTTTGACAATCAGTGAATGAAAGCTGCAGTACTTGTTTGCTGCAACAGAACCCGGATAATATAAATCCCTTCTTCTGATAGATGTTTTACTTACTCTTACAGTGGCTAATTAAAAAAAAGAAAAAAGAAAATTGCATTGCTGTTTTTTCTAAAACATAAAATATCTACAGCGATGTGCCTCGTCCGCAGAATTCCTGATCCCCGCGTCATCTCAGCCGTTTTTTGCAGCATAAATAAAATGCAAACTTGGCGTTAGGTGTTTCAGCACGGGCTGAATGAAGCACAGCGAGTAGGCTTTGAGAAATGCTTTGGGAGTTTAAAGGGCTGAAGCAACGGTACACGTAAATGGTAAACATTTGTAAGTGTTTTTAAGGCATGTGCCTCTCAGAGTGCGTTTCTCACATCAGTCGTGTTGATGTTTAGTCTTCTTTGTCCTTGGGTAAGAGTGATATAACTGGGGGAGCCCGCATGCCCAGCTGTTCGTAAACACTGAAGTTGAGGCAGGGGAGGATGTTTTAAACTATCCGAGGGCAGAAAACAGATGCAGGTGTTCTTGGTCCGATACTGTTCAGACACTTCATTTTTTTAACTTCTTAAACCATGAAGGTGCTGCTACAGTTCCAGCTGCACGAGCAGGACGTCAGCAGAAAGACTGCTGGAAGTTTCCTGTGCAGTTAGCGTTAATACTGCTTTCCCGGTAACTGCAGTCATCTCGTTAATTAATACGAGGGACTGGCAGCTCTCCCCAGAGGGCTGCACAGAGAGAAGCCGGGCCTACGTGAGCCCCTGCGTCGCCAGACTGCGTCCCCGCTCTTGGTGCTGGGGGGGGTCAGGGGAAGTGAAGAAAAAAGAAAGGGCAGAGAAGGGAGCGGCGGGGGAGCGCGC